TGCTGCTGTGTAGACGCATCCCTGCAGATGCAGTCTCCGATCCTCTTCCCCTTTGAATGAGGAGGTATCTGTATTACTCTAGGGTTTAGGGTTTAGGGTTTAGGGTTTAGGGTTTGTGGTTGCAGGCTAGTTGATGCTGCTGAGGCTTTGGGTGAGATGGAGCTGCTGCTGCAGGAAGCAGCAGAAGAGACACGGCAACTAAAAGAAGAAAAAGAAGAATTAATAAAAAGAATAAATGAATTACAACAAACAAAAACATAATTTTATTCTCTTATGTTGGGGTGTATGCATACACCCCAGACCTGCCTATACACCCCAGACCTGCCTATACACCCCAGACCTGCTGCCTATACACCCCAGACCTGCCTATACACCCCAGAGAATACACGCTGTAAATATAAATATTTGTTTGTATGTGCTGAGGTGTATGTACACCTCACGCCTCGCAACGTAAAACTCAAAACCCTCAAAAATATTCCCCCATTTGAATCCAAAAAGGGTTTAGGGTTTGAACGAGGGTTTAGGGTTTATTAGGGTTTAGGGTTCCAGCGAGGGTTTAGGGTTTGCGCTAAGGTTTAGAAATCGCTAGCTGAGGCCAAGTAAAGGGGTTTAAACAACAGGGTATTAGGGTTTGTTGTTTACGAGGGATGTTTAGGGTTTACAAGGGCGTATTAGGGTTTAGGGTTTAGGGTTTAGGGTTTAGGGTTTAGCGGCGCCGCTTTCTATCCGGGCAGATTGTATGCAGCACGTGGGTCATTGAGTTCTTCTCTTGCAGCCGAACCAAAGGAGAGGGAAAAGCTAGCTGGTATTCATTCTGTACACAAACCCTAAACCCTAAACCCTAAACCCTAGACAGAGGCGACGTAAACCCTTCTATCAACACGACAAACCCTTCAAACCATCTCTTGGTGCTGGCACAAGCAAACCCTACACAAACCCTAAACCCTAAACCCTAATGCATTCCTGCGGATTCTGCCTTGAGTAAGGGTTTAGGGTTTGCCGGCCTAGGGTTTAGGGTTTACAAGCTACAAGGGTTTAGGGTTTGAACTACTAGGGTTTAGGGTTTAGAGTTTGCGGTTTAGGATTTGGCGTTTCCGTGCCTAGGGTTTAGGGTTTAGGGTTTGGATGAGTAGGGTTTAGGGTTTAAAGACTCAATGTCTAGGGTTT